TAAAAAAAAGTCAACCTGGTACTCAAAAGAAGCAAAATAATATATAAATTTCAAAAGTAATATATTTTTTATATTAATTTTATAATTCTTTTTTATTAAAAACTTGTAAAAATGCATTTTTTTTTTATTTGTAGTTAAAAAATTAATAATTGTAGTATGAAATGATTTTTTTTTGAAATTTTTATATAATTTTTTAAGACCCAATATGACTTTTGAAAAACTATGTTTTTTAAAATATTAGGGACCTGTTAAAAAGTATATATATATATATATATATATATATATATATATATATATATATATATATATATATATATACATATATATATATATATATATATATATATTTATATATATATTTATATATGTTTTTTTCGATTAAAACTCTTATTAGTTTTTCTTCTTAGTTCTCTTATAAGTATTTTGTACATGAAAACATAGACAAGTAAAATCCTTTTTTTTAAATAATGGCTGTTTAATAAAGAATAAAATATTGCTTGGCAAAAATATTAGTTTTACCTTGTGAGTAAGTTTTCACCAGTTCATGATAGTTTTTATTACTAATGTTAATGTAAAAATTGCAATGCACTAAGGTGATATTTTTTAAGCAGAAAAAAATCAAATTAAAAAAGAGAAAAAAACTTAAAAAAACTCAACTTAATAATTAATACTAAATAATTAAATTTTCAAATAAATAAAAATAAATAAATTTTAATTTATTTTTAAAACAACAAATTTTACCACATGCATTTTTTAACTTTTCAAACAATTTTTAGACATTTCAAATGATTTTAAAAGTATTTTAACAATACATAACATATAATATATTATTAGTTTATAACTTTACTTATATTTATAATATTATATTATTAATTTATTATGATATATATTGATATAGAAAATGTGGTATAAAATTGATATATAAAAAATGATAGTAAGTAATATTATTGACGCATAAAAAAAAGAATAAATAAATACCATAAAATAAAAAAAAGATTTCATTTATATTCAATGTTTATAAAAGTAACATTAAAAAATATCTCTAAACAAAAAGTGTAACAAAAAAAAAAAAAAAAAATTGTTACAATATAACGATGTTCGACTGGATTATATTTTATTATTTATTATTTAATATATTCTATTATATATATATATATATATATATATATATATATATATATATATATATATATATATATACATATATATATATATATATATATATATATATATATATATATATATATATATATATATATATATATATATATATATATATATATATATATATATATATATATATTTATATATATATATATATATATATATATATATATATATATATATATATATATATATATATATATATATATATATATAAAATATTAGACTTGACAGGTATATAAAAAAAAACTAAAGCCTAAAATATTTAAACTAAAATATTTTTTTCAGATATCAATACCAAAAAAATACTAATTCTTCTATGCTTACTTCATCAGGTATTTTTCTTTTGAAAAAAGTATATAAATTATGTATTATTAATAAATATAATCAAATAATGTATAATTCTTGTTTTGATACAACATGATGAAACTTTTTCTAACAAAATATTAATAAAAAGAAAATTAGTTTTTTACATTACAGGGGTGGGACCGCAAAATGTGAACACTTTTCTGATTGTAATAATTAATTTTCTGTTAAATATGAACTATTTTAAATAAGAATGTCCAATGGTTGGACATTCTTATTTAAAATAGTTCATATTTAACAACTCTTTAGACACTTTCTGATGAGTGAGAGAGTACAACTACATCTAACGAGAAAATAGTTATAATAAAACAAAAACGTTCACATTTTGCGGTCCCACCCCTGTATTTTAATACTTATTAATAATATATTTGGTTTAACATTTAATTTTTAAGTAAGTGAGGCCATTAAGCTTGTGTTAAGGCGTGGCTCACTAACCTCTTTAAGTGTGGCTATTGGAAGCAAAAAGTCTTTTAAATTCCTACGTTCAAAAATAAATTGTTAAAATTATACTTTTACTTTAAACTAAAAAAACAATAAAAATATAAATTTGTATTAGTAAAAGTTATAAATAAGTTTGAATAAGAAATTTGGATATTAGCACGTTTTTTTTAACCTTATCCTTTATAATCTCATCTTATGAATCTAATACTTTGATTACGTCAAATGAAGTTTTTTCAAGCTATAAATATAAAAGTTAGTATTTTATCCTTAATGCCACGCGCCATCATGTTTTTTTGTAAAACATCGTTTATAAAATTTTGCATATGAGATTTCTTTATTTTATTTTCTGGATCTTTATTTAATTATGTGTTTATTTAGAAAAGTATGCTTTTATTTTAAAATAAAATCATACTTTTCCTTCCTTTTTACTATATTTTTCTATTTATTTTAAAATCAATACATTTTCTATATCCTTATTTTAAAGTAAATACATTTATCTATATACTTATTTTAAAATTAATACAATTTTTTATTTACTTATTTTAAAATCATTACGTTTTTCTATTTACTTATTATGAAATAAACATATATTTATTTTTTTTTAAGTAAATACATTTTTCTATTTACTTTTTTTTTTAATTTATTTAACTTTAGTATTTATTTAAAAATCAATACATTTTTCTATTTTATTATTTAAAAATCAATCCATTTTTCTTTTTACTTTTCTTAAAATCAATACATTTTTCTATTTATTTATTTTGAAATCAATACACTTTAGTATTTATTTTAAAATCAATACATTTTTCTATTTACTTATTTTAAAATAAGTACATTTTTCTATCTACATATTAAAAAATCAACAAATATTTCTAATTACTTATTTTAGAATAAATAATTTTTTTAATTTACTTATTTCAAAATCAATACACTTTTCCATTTACTTATTTAAAAATTAATATATTTTTCTATTTACATTTTAAAAATCAATACATTTTTTTTTAAATAAAATTTTTTTAATAATAAGTTCGGACTGAAAATTTAATATTTGTTCGCTGTTAGTAAAAAGTATGGAATAATTGTAACTAATATTTGTATAAAATATTTATTAGTATTTGATAACAATGAATAAAATTATACAATTTTTAATAATAACCAATATTGTATATCGAATATCATATTGAATAATATTTGATTATAATGAATAAAAACTTATAAAACTGTTAACAAAAATTATATTATATTGATACTAGTAAAAGCTATATTGATAATTGTAGTTATATATTATATTGATAATAATACAGATATATTAATTTTTGATGACAATTATTGAAATTAATCACATTTTGTTTTTTAATGAATATATTAAATTATTTTGTACAGGCATTTTGGTATGGACATGATTTTCAAAAACTTTTAAAAGTATTTATCGACATCCAAAAAATGAGCGATGAATATTTTTTTCAAAATATAAACTTTTACTAATAAAACAAATTATGCTTGGTTATTTACTCTTAACCTTTAGAGAGAATTTATTTTTAATTAAATTTAATATCATTTGGAAAAATTTCCAGCAAATTATCATACTATAACTATTTACTTAAAATTTTTTGATATTTTAAATGTGTTAAGAGTATTAAAAAATTTGATAATCTTAATTTTAAAAACTTTCAATAATTGTTTTAAATTATTTTTATTAATATTATTGTAGCCCCTCATGAGTTGTTGTTAAAGATCTTTCCACGCAAAAATTGTTTTAGCTAAGATTTAAAATTGTTTTCATGTTTTGAAATCTTCAGCAAAGTATTATAACAGCTTTATATTTTGTAAAATGTATTGATGTTGTTGTCTTGATACTTTTGAATTTTTATGTTGTGTAAAAGCTGTTGTATTGATATTGTTTGATGTTGTTGTGATATTTTGCTTCACTTATTGCGCAGTATATTGAATTTATGGTATACATTTATAGATAACAGTTTGTGGAGTTTTTATTGTCGTTTTAAAGTCTTTCAAATACTAGCTGTATTGGAGTTTATAAGTGCATTTTATTTACTTCCTAATATATACAACAACTATTTTAAATGAATTTTTTTTGTTTTTAATCTAAGACTTTAACATGAAATGGAAATTAAAACATTTTATATAATTTATAGAAATTCTGCGGTGTTCTGTGATAAAACCATTCTTAAAGTTAATAACCACATTGAAAAAAAAAAAAATTTAACCAAGCTGACTGTTACAAAAAATGGGAAGAAATTTTTTTAGGAAAACTAATAAAAATTCTCTTAAAAACATGTTGAAGAATCTGGAGAATCAATCGAACGAATAAACGAACGAACCATCGAACGAACCATCAATTTCAGTGTAGTGAAAAAAGGTCAAAGCTTCTTCAGCTTTCAACGTTAAGGTCTTAAATTCAAGAGAAAAAAAATATCCATTTACATAGTTTAAAGTTTACTATGGTTTAACCATATTAAACTTTAAATTGTAATAAACTATGCCAAAAAATTATAATCCAAAAGAAATCCAGGCTAGTTCAAAGAAATCCAGGCTAGTTCAAAGAAAGCGCTTTAATGATTGTTACTCATAAATTAAAAAAAAGAAAAAAACTTTTTACCTACAAATTTTTAATGCTTATATTGATAGGTATTTTAAAAATATATTTATTAATAAGAAAAGTCAGAGATTATCTGATAACGATGAATGAGTCTTAACATCTGTCTCCAAACGTAAATTAAGTTATGCAATTTAAGATCATTTATAATTTTTCAAGTATAATTCGGCTATTGTCTACTTTATTCAATTTAAAATTTTATTATTATTAATTTTAAATTGTTGTAATAATTTTAATATCTGACTGCGCAGAGTTTAATTTTTCTTTGATATATATTTGCATTTTGGTTTTAGCTACGCGACAGTGTTCAGCCAACAATGTTTTTAATTGTGAATTATCCATGCTATATATAAACTTTAAATATCCAGATATTGAAAATTAACGGCTTTAAAAGTCTTTTTAAAGCCGTTAAAAAAACCGACTCAAAGTTACTATAGACATTACGTAAGTTACTTTAGACACGCAGATAAATAAAAAGTTGTTTAGTGTGTTTACTGGTTTAAATAGTCAATTACATAAAATTCCGCAAACAAAAGATTACCGGAAACTAAAAATCGTTAGAAAACTGAAAAATGTTAGAAAACTCTAATTATGATCGCAAACTGATCAGCTAAAATGATTATCAATATTGACCTCATAAAGATTATTTTTCTACCGATTAAGGCATCATTCGTGTATTCAATATTATACAATATTATATAATAAATGATTCATACATGCAATAAGCAATTATTTATTTTATCGTTTGAATTCTTATCGAAAAAAAAACATCATCATCGATCATATTTTTTTTGACTTTTTAAGATGCAGAATAATTTTTCAGTTATAAGCGGAAATCAAAGAGGATCTATAGTAATGTCAGCTCTAAACGGAAATCAAAGAGGATCCGTGGTTATGTCAGCAATATCTCCAATGTTAATGATTCCAACTTTATCAAAACTTGAGAAGAGTCCAAGTTTGCGTAGAAAAAACGAGAAAAAAGTCGAACATTCAACAATCGAGTCAAACGTTGATAACTTTAAAGATGCAAATTTCGATAAAAGTTTAAAAGAAAATGATATGAGAAAAATTAGCAATAAGACAAGAGAATGTAATATTATACTTTTAGGAGATCTGGAAATTGGTAAAACTGGTGAGTTCCAATTTTCATTTCTGTTTTAAGGTTTCTAAGAATTGATATTTATAAATAAAGTTTTCTTAACATTCACAAATTTAAGGACTGATTCAACAATACACTGTGTTTTAATAAAATTTGCACACTTAAATTTTAATATATATATATATATATATATATATATATATATATATATATATATATATATATATATATATATATATATATATATATATATATATATATATATATATATATATTATAAGTTCAAAATCTTTACGCTTTTTTGTTGCCAGGGTTACTCTCCTGTCATTTTTGCATAATACAAACTTGTATTATGGGATTAAATGGGATTATGAGAAAACTATGAAACTATGTTGTATTTTAAAAAATAATTTTTTTAAAATAATAAAAATATTGTAGCCTTTAATAAAATTACATTTTTTTCGAAACATTCGATGTCTTTCTTTTATTTTATAAAACTTCGTTAAATTTCTCTTGTACCCAGCATTCTCTTTTCTATAGTAAATAAATATATTTTTAAAAAAGATAGAAAAATGCAAACTTTTGGGAGTCAAATAAAAAAATATAATTATCATAGAGCTCATCTGCATAACGTTAAGTCATAAAAATAAAAGTTTTCAGTTAATTTCCTCCATTCTAAATACTGAAATCTATTTAAATATTAGACAAATTAAAACATTTTTGGTCCCAAAAATGGACAGAGAAAATATCAATTTCTGTTGATGCGCAACTAAGAGTAGTTTGGCTTTTCGTTGCTTTCTCAAAATCAGTTTACTTATTGCAAATGGGTTTCTCATATATACGGCGCTTGAATCTATTTTATTATTTGTATTGAAAAGTTTAATAATTTTTATTGGAAATTTTTTTAGCGTTTGCAGTTCGTTTTGTAACAAGACGGTACCTTCATGAATATGATCTAGATTTAGGTAACTTTTTTTGAACTAATTTTGATTTGGGTCAACTTATTTCAGTCCTTTAATTTTTATATATTTTTTTTTAAATCATTTTTATAATATTAATTTTTATTTCATTAAATTTTAGAAAGAACATATGAAAAAACATTAGAGTATGCAGACGATCAGATACTTGTTAGGTTATGGGATACAGTTAAATCGGTGCGGATTCATTAAATTTTTATTATATTTTTGCTTAGAGTACTATTTATCTAATGCATTGATGTTTACAATTCAACCTTGTATTTTTTTTAATTTAGAGTTGGGAGAGCTATGTTGATCAAGCAGATGGATTTATTGTTATGTACTCAGTAACTTCAGTTAAAAGTGCATTTAATGCAAAAAATATTATAAAATCAATTCGATCTTCTTCTGCAACCAGAAACCTTCCAATTATGATGGCTGGAAACAAAGTTGACCTCGAACATGCAAGAAAAGTCTCTCAACAAGAAATGAACAATTTTGCAAATGCAAATGATTGTATTTTTGAAGAATTTTCAGTTGCATGTACAACATTAATTGACCCAATTTTACTATTGTTACTGAAACAAATTATACAAACTAAACGAGACAAATGTTTGCTATCCTCGCAACGAGATTTTACCGGTAGCAAATCATCGTTATCTAAAAACAAGTTTACAAGATTTCTTTACCGTTGAAATATGTTGATTTGCTTACGCATTTTCATGATTTTATGAGCAGATCATGACTACCATGGAAGTATCGGAAATTCTCAGTAGATTTTATGAGCAATCATGACTACCATGGAAAGTATCGGAAATTCTCAGTAGATTTTATGAGCAGATCATGACTACCATAGAAAGTATCGGAAATTCTCAATAGATTTTATGATCTTTAGTATTATCTCAGTATCATAGTAATTAATTATCAGATTTTCACTGCCATATTAGGTTCATTAGATTTGAAATATCATACATTGTTCATTATATCATATCTTTTAGTGTTAGGTATGTCTATAGATATACCTAACACTAAAAGGTATGTCTCTAGACCTTTGGTATCATAGTAGCTTTAGTCGATCTTAAGTATTAATTTAGCTTTAGCCTCATTAATATAGTACGCTTTAGTATATTATTGCTTTATTATATTTTGCTATATTTATTTATTGTAAATAACATATGAACTTATATCATCTTTTTTTAATACATAAATTATGTTAATATTATAAAAAATATTTACAAAAATATTGATAATTTTGTCCTTATGTTCATTTTCCTACTATTTGAATATAGTTATATCCTGTATATTAAGTATTTTGGACACTGAATCCTATACCAACACCACTTTATCCTGCATCAATCCCATATCAACACAATATATCCTGCATCAATCCCATATCAACACCATTTTATCCTGCATCAAACCTATAGCAACACCATTTTATCCTGCATCAAACCTATATCAACACCATTTTATCCTGCATTAATTCTATATCAACACCATTTTATCCTGCATCAATCCTATATCAACACTATTTTATCCTGCATATCAGTATTTTTATATAAATAATGTTATGCTCTATATATCAAATCAAATCAACATTTTATCATTGTATCAATTTTTAACATTTTAAATATCTTTTTAATTTATTTATTTTAATTCAGTAAGGTGACCAACGACTCCATTTTATTTTAAATAAACGTAATGCAATTTACTTTTTTGAAATTCAAATTTTATCCGTTTTTCTTCGGTAAAAAGGTCGTTATATTAATTTTTTTTAATCATACTTCATTAATATTTAATTCAAAAAATAAATTTTTAAAAATTTTTAAAGTTTTTGCCTCAGAGTTTTATATTTATGATGCTATAAAACAATGACGTTGATATTTCTAACTGAAACTTTGATCAACTGTATTATTTTGACGTACTTTGCATCAAAATGATACAGAAAATTTGTGGAGGTTTAAAGTAAAGAAAAGTTGTGGGTCACCTTTGTCCAGGTTTAAGACACACCTTTGTAGCTGAGCAGACTAATATCATAATAAACACGAGACAACTTTACTACTTTTGATACTACTTTTATTAAACATGTGGACAAATGGTGTTAACTGAAAAATGTGGACAAATGGTGTTAATTGAAAAAATTTATTTATCAATTTTGACAAACTTAATAGCATTATTTACACTTAAAAATCTGAAATAAAATTCGTATAGGTTTTAAACTTACTGAGAATTTTAAAAATATGGTTGCAGTAAAAATTGATTTTTAGTTGTATAACTTTTAAACAAAATGGAAAATTGGTTGGGGCACAACAATTTTTTATTTTCGACTTTTTGATTTAAATTTAAAAATTTAAGCTTTTTATTAAAAAATATTTTGGCAGGGATTTATGGTGCATTTATCGTGCATACTTTAAGAACAGTTTGCAGATAATGAGAAGGTTGTACCAATCATATTCTATTGTTTCAATTCTATCTCATTGTAATAATTTCTATCCAGCAAGTAGTTTTTTTTTAATTTTTGTTTTCTATCTAACGTTTTCGCTAACGTTGCTTGGTGCAGCACTAATGCATCTAAAAATAAAGGGCTTCTAATTAAACAAAAACACGCTCTAAGAATTATTGGAAATGTGAATCGCTTTTCGCACATTATATTACTTTTTAATAAATTCAAAATACTTAACGTATTTCAACTTAACCTATATCATATTTTTATATTTATGTTCAAAGTAGATAATAAAATGGCACCCATTTTATTTAATTCATTTTTCGAAAAAATAAATCATTTATACCCAACAAGATTTTCAAACAACAATTATATTCAACCAAAAAAATATTATTCTGCGACTAGGTTCTCGATAGCAATCAGAGGACCTAAATTATGGAACACCCTATTGGATAATGAGTTTAAAAAAATTTCTTCCCTTGATCAATTTAAAAATAAAATAAAAAGTAAACTCTTGATAATTGACAATGAACTTGACTTCCTTTGAAACTTTTAAATAGGAGTAGTCACTTGTTTTTTACTTGATATTTAATTTATTTTTAACATATTAATTTTTGATTTTAATTTGAACCTTTACCTTCTTAAATTATCATGTTTTATCTCATTTTTATTTACTATTAAAATTTGAAATCCTAATAAAAAAAAAACTAAAAAAAAATATTAAATTTTAATGAAAAATATTTAGATATTTGTATTTATATATGTACCTTACGCATATTATATTGTAATAACGGATTTTTTTTGGTTTTTTGGTTTTTTGTTTTGTTTGTTACTTGTATTCTTGTTTAAAGGGGCTTGGCGATAAGACTGAATTTGTCTTCTTCTTGCGCCAGCCGTGTATATACAGTTTTTAAAGTCTAATTTTGTAAATATTTTCTTTATGGCGAAATATATATTATATTATATATCTCATTGTAATAATTTCTATACCAGCGAGTAGTTTTTTTTAATTTTTGTTTTCTAGGCAACATAAGAAAAACCAACAGTCTTGTCACAGAACATCCCAAATAAGCATTCAACTAGAAAACTAGCGCAAAAATATGCCTATAGGATGCATCAAACTCTGCATTATTTGCTTATAAAGCAAGAGCTCTAACCACTGCGTCACGGCTGCAGTATTTAAAAATTGTTGAAAAAATAAACCATCACGAGACGATCTTATGAGTAGAACCCCAATTTTGAGGCCCGAATAAAATATTTTTTTGGGGTAGTGTGCCTCAGACTTACAAGCCACGGACTTGCTCGAGAGATTGTTAAAATATGTGATATGGTTTGAGATTGGTGAAAAATCTTGATTAATCTCAATTCCTCAAGAAAAAAAAAAAAAGAAAAAAGTGGAAACGATAAAATATGAGTTGAATTTAACACGCTAATCAATTAATAAAATAAATAGGGGTATAACACGTGTCACTATTGAAAAAAAAAACCTTGTAATTTTGCTTACTAACTCCAATGTCACACATTCTGTAGCCACAAGATGTAAGTGTTGATGTGAAAAGCAAACTACTTAAACAGTTTTATGCTCTGATAGTGAGCAGCAAATAAATTAAACAAGGAACTTCAACAGCAACAACAGCAGCAAAACCAAGTCAAATTACTCATCATTTTGCATAGTTTTGCTAAATACGAATGTAATAAAATCACTAATAAAAATACTTTTTTATTTATTTACAATAAAATTCTCAAAATTCTCTAAAACTTTAAAAAGCATTGGAAACATTTTTTGCTGCAAAAAAAAAAAAAAAAAAAAGAAACTCTAAACTAATTCTTTTGTCTCCATTTACTCTTCATTATTTTTTTAGTTATTTCGGTGCTCCAAAAAGTAGTTATGGTCTTATCACGGAGTAACGCGAAATAGCATTTAACCAGGAAGTTCACGCCTACTTTTTTACCAATAATGCTTATATGGCAAAGGCCTTCGAACCACGAACAAACATTTCTGAAGCCAGAACTATAACCACTAGATTACGGTTGCTTAAATATGCACTCCATAAAAATCATGATTTTTAACATGCACTCTAAAAAAATCTAGATTTTTCACAGTTATTAAAATGATACATTTGTAAAAAAGTAGTAGTTTCCAAAAAAAAAGTTTAAAATTTTAAAATCACAAAAACTCATAATACTTACTTCTTTTGCTATGAATATTTAATCTAATTGAATTAATTAACTTATAAATTTTAACTAATAATTCATATAAGATATAAGATTTTAAAAGCTTAACAAGTATCCATAGATTTGGGAGCAATTATAAATGGTAGCAACAGATTTGGGAAAAACAGAAAAGTTTGATTGATTGTGGATTCGAAAAGTAATAACGAGTTTTTCTTCAAAAATGGAACTACAATTAAACATTTTTTAAAAAATTTAAGTAAATTTTTTTTTAAAAAATCAAGTCAATATTATTTCTCTAGACTAATGTACATTTATTGTTAAATTCAACCTTTATTTAGTCGAGCTCGTAAACTACTGTACTACCTCCTACTGTACTGTGAGTCGTACTGTACTACCTCTGGAGTCGTACTGTACTACCTCTGGAGTCGTACTGTACTACCACTGGAGTGATTTTTTTTTAAACAATACTTGATTCTTCCAAATAATTTTTTATGATTTTTGGCTTTCCCTTATTGGCTAAACCTTTTAAATAACACCAACAGTATGGAATCAAAATATTTTCAATGCAATCTACTTTGTACGTATTTTTGTTAACATAACAGCCAGATTTCCTGACTACTGGTCTAGTCATATCTTTGGAACTAATTCATAGCATACCAATACATTGCTTTCGAACTTAATTTTTCTTTTTTACTTGAGGTTTGGAAAAGCATTCTTGTAGTCACTGGAGTAATACCATTCATTCCCAACAATTGAAGAGTTTGACTAAGTATAATAAGATTCGCCATTTAAAATAAAATTTTGTTAAAAAAACTTTTTAAAAAAGCGTCTGCATTTTGGGCGAGCGACAGCCCTTCACTGTTTTGAAATTGATTTGTCTCATGAAAATGCCGTTTTGATATTGATTCGTCTCGTGAAAATGCAGACCGTTTTGATATTGATTCTCGGTGACGATATTTGATGTTTATCTTTTTTTTTTTAACAAGTTATGAGTGTGATCAAAATTTTGAATTTTTTAGGTCCTTTTTTAATGGTTACTTTGGGATTATTGTCAAAATAAACAATAAGCTAGTTCACTTTTTTTCCATTTAGCATAATATAAGTATACTTTTACAATATATGGATGCATAAAATAAAATATATATATTGTATAGATATCATAAAATAAAACATAAAAGTATATACCGTATAAACTTATACGGTATATAGATAGATTACATAAAATAAAACATAAAAGTATATACCGTATAAACTTATACGGTATATAGATAGATTACATAAAATAAAACATAAAAGTATATATCGGACTTCCATCAAAACA